GGCTCCCGCCGGCCGCCATCTTGAGCGTGGCGTGGGGCTCGCCTGAGGGCCCGCCCCGCCTCTCGCACCCCGCCCTGCTCCGGGGGTAGCGGCTGCTGAACGGAGCGTGTCCGAAAGCACCCAAAGAACCACGCTCTAATAGACACGCTTAAAAATGTATCGAAACTGTGGGAAAGTCCTGTCTGGGGTTGGAAGGATTCCCCTTCAGTCTAAGGAGATTACACCGCAAAGGCCACAGTGGACCCCAGACAGTTTCATCCTAGGCAGTGACACAGATGAGAGACCATGCGATGGACCACCCTTCATCTCTAAAAACACGTCAGTATTGCATATGAAGTTGCACATAGGTGACAACATTATCTGTACAGATAAAGCCGGTGCTGAATTCCTAAGAAAAGCTTGCTCCAGAAGCAATTGTGCCAATTTGTGCACAGGCCTCACTTTTTAATTACATGATTGCATACTTTTCTGTCCCATTTGGTTTCTTTCTTATTTAGTGCACAGAATGGGCCAAAATACAGGTGTGGAATTTCCTAACCTTTGAGCACTTCCTTTTGCATCTGGAATTACGTCTTTGTAATTTTTAAAACCATAGTAACACATGGGATAATCTGCAGTGATCCCTTGCACATGATGAGCTGGTTTCACTTTCACCCTGTCCTGAGGGTAATTGGCTCTCTGAAAACCCTTCTGAAGCATGTGAAACACCAGGGTCAGGCTGCTGATGGTTTGAGAGCCAGAGTCTGCAGCCTCAGTCAGACTCCAGTCCCCTCCTTCCCTGCTAATTCTCCCTCTGGGGTTCATTTGGAGTGGTTTATATTGAGGGTTCATTGTAATCTCCAGTTCTGACCCAGGCCTCCTCCTGAACACCAGGGCTGTGTCTCCTCCATCATCCCAAGGGTTTGCTTTTGGTCAGATGGGTTAGAACCAGAGCATGAAATGCTGTGAAAGTTGATGTTTTTAACACTGTCGAAAGTTCGAGACTAGAACTGCACTCAAGGAGCACTGTGGTGACAGGGAGGGAGCATAGGAATTATGGAGGAGATTTTCTGTGCAGCAACATGAGCAAGTGAGAGAGGGAAAGTTCCATTTCCCCCATATGCAAAGGGACTTTGCCTGTCAGTCCTGGTTACTTAATATCATGTTCTGCCACTTTGTCTCTAATTGTACCAATCCCTTCCATAGACTCAAGAACCAACTGAGTCATGCAATAAAACTTCTGTAATTCCGGTGACTGATCCTTTCCCCCTACCCCAATAGATGACAGGATATAATTTATGCTGCAGTGATACACTACTGAAGTTTATGAACATCAAGAAATGTATACCTGTTTTCCACACCCCAGCTCCTGTCTTTCAGTGCCATCTAGTGCCGAAGCATGGAAGAGAGGGTGTAATTAATCGAATTTCTCCTCATCAGATCGATTTGCTGTAATTCATGCATTTTGGAAACTGATAGATGGTACTGGCAGAAGGTATATTAATACAATATTTCTCTATGTAAATCTAGCCATATATAAATTCATATTTTTATTTTATGGCACTAAATTCTGACACAGATCTCTTTTACATTAATTAAATTAAAATCAATAGCACTCACAAATCAAACATATGTGTATATATATCAGTTATTTACTTTTGGCTATGCTGTTCCCTGAAATTAATTAGATTGCTTTGGAAAATAGTGGTCTCACTAAAAAAAAGGACTGAAATAATTTATCACCTTGCTTCATTTTCAGCTCTACTGAAAAGGAGTAGCCCACCCCACATCTGAGCCAAATCACAATTTCATTTACAAAGTACATCTGCAAGGCTTGGAGTAACAGGTCTTTCTATTTATCTACAGAAAGAAAGGAACAAGGTGATTTTTGAAACAAGGAAGAGACAAAAAATGAAGGGTTATCCAGAGACCACCTGAATTCAGGTTGTTGTCTTTTATCCCTGCATGCCTTTCTTTACAGTGATGGCTAGTTATTATTCTCATCAGCAGTGAAACAGTTCTTAACCTTGAAACACCCTTGGCTGTCTTTTACCGTAACATAAACTTGAGAGATACACATGAAGGAGTTACATCATCTCCCCATATTACTGCAAAGAAAGAACTTAATGGCCAGCACAGACAACTCCCCCTTGAAGACTTCAGATTCTAAATTAAGATGCAAATTGTGGGTAGCAAATACAACAAAAAGAATATGAATACAGTCATATACAACAATACAACAGTCTTGTGTGTATTCAGATCCTTGTTTATATGTAACAAATCTTACCTTTCCCACCTGGCCATGAAGGAACTGGAAAGTCACTATTCTCTGAATTAGTCCGGCTAAAGAGGAAACAAAACAAGGTGCTCATCTGCTTTCATTCTAGTAAAAATCTAATTTAATTAGAGCAATTTCAGATCACAATTCTGACAGCTGTGTTTATCACACTTTCTTCAAAGGATAGAAATTAGCATTGACTGACATTAGCATCAAAGCTTATTTATTCACCCGCCCACATCCTAGCAGCCCTTCTGAGTTTGTCTGTTTATTTAGCACTTTAATAACACCACAGTAAATAAGATTTCATTTCAGAGCATGCATGTTTTTTGTCAAAGCATTTAGTGCAGGCTTGTTGGAATGCCACAGTAGAGCCCCTCATTGCAGGTTTGATGAAAGAGCACTGGGTGTTCTCCAGATAAAGCATTTTAAATGGTTAACAAGGACATAGCCTGGGATCCAGAATTTCTTTTTCTTTCTTTTTTGTCAACAACTAGAAAATACCTGTCTTTCGGCAGTAGCCAGAGACAACCTGTCAATCCTTAAGCCGCAGAAGATTGCCCAAGTCTGCCAAAAGCTTGGATGGGGTGGAAATGGAGCCTCCTGTGGATATGACCCAGACAGAAATGGATGACCACAGGCCTCCTCTGTTATGTTTACTTACGAAATCAGGAGAAAGAAAAGCACAGCTATGAGAGCAAAGGGCCAGTGTGGGCATTTTCTGCCTTGCAGTGAAACATCAAAACTAATGAGGGAAATAGCTGTTCCTTCCCAAGGTTTATTGTGTACAGTCAGGACAGTAGTCTCTCCTAGACAGTGCTAGCAGCCTTAGCCGGAACAAAAAATCAGAGCCCTCACTGAAAGATGTCATTCAGAACATGAACAAGGAATGGCAGAGCTGAAAAAGTTCTCTCTCCAATGGGCATACTATTCTAAAGAGAAGTCAGATTTAAAAAAACAAAACAAAGAAAACACAAAGAATATCAAATGGGAATAAATTCCACTGCATTACAATTATAAATGACACAGAATTACTTTCTCAAATCCTATGACTTAATATGCAACAGAATTATCATAAGAAAATGGTTCTGTGTAACGGAAATAATTTCAGTTTTGGTATTTCATCCAGCGGTGCAGACAGGCCTGTGGAGTGTGCTGTCTTGGCTGGAGCTTATTGAGCTTATTGAGTCTGACCATTGGTTTATACAGCAGGAGCTGAAAAGTGACAAATTCAATTCTACAATTCTGAAATTAGGAAAAACCAGAAACACCAAGGAAATGAGACACTCAGCAGCTGGTTGGTGAGAGAGATGAAAAATTCACAACTTTCAATCACTCACAGCACATGTTATGCAGAAAAAGACTGAGCTCCCAGTCTTTCTTTGGAGGTTGTGTCACTTCCAATCTTTCCTATAAGACCCAAGCATGGCTTATGGTGGCGATTTGCACGTGGATGAATGAAACGTCTGCTTTCAGTGACTGTATTTCTGTCTTGGTTTTCTCTAGTTGAGTGAGTAAACAGCTTTTGGGAGGATATATTCTCCTTGGAAATATCCCCATGCTTTAAACCATTACACTCAGACTCACTTTTTTTATAAAAAAGGAGGAAAAAGGTGGAGGAGGCAACAGTGTTAACACTGATTTACATTTTCAACTGACTGCCCAGTGGCTGGAAAATTTTGTTTATTCTGTTTATCTAGCCAGAAACCACACAGGCCCATGTAAACCCAGATTTTGGACATGCTTTTTCTCAATTACCATGAAAATGTCAGGGAAAAGTGTAATTTAAATATCCCTTCAAAAGCATTGTCTTGCATAGTACTTTACACAATCCACTCTTTCAGTAGGTCCCCTCCCTTTCTTCAGGTATACCAGCAACCAAAAATGTGCAAGCAAGAGTAGCTTACGACAATATTCAGTATCTCATAGGAGATTACTGCAGCAGCATATAAACTAGGATAAGAGCATTCTTCTTTTATTAGGTGAGTTGATCTATAAAGCAAATCTACCTTCTTTATGAATACTGACCAACACTTTAATCTGCAACAAAAATATGGAACCTGGAGAGCAAGAATTAAGAAAATCACTATTATTAATGTTCAACTGCTTGCTTTGCTGAATATAGGTAAATGTTACATGTTTCCAGTCAGCCAAAGTTCTTTTTGTTTCCACTTGGTTACTTTAATGAGTGAGAAAAAAAAAAAAACCCACAAAAAAATATCTGCATTTGCCCAGACCAAGGGAGGATTCTGCAAGCTGGTTTAGGGACATCAGGATATTGAATTCCTTTGTAATGGCCCAAGCAGGAAGTTTTCCACATTCAGAAACCATCAGCTAATGACAGCTCCAAGGCTCATGCATCAGAAAATAAGAGCTTCAGTTAATGGGAATCAGATGACAAGCTCCAGTGATCCCTTTAGCTTAAATAAAGCTGTAGATGCCACCAAGGTCATGTTCTTCCTCACAGAATTCCCTTTTCCATGATCGTGGTTTTTTTCTCTACTGCACATCAAATCTTGCTGGCTGGGCAAAGGGAGGGGATGTGTTGGGCCACAAGTGGGTAAGAATTCACTCCTAGACTATAAAGCTACTTTGATATACAGAGATATATTGGAACAGCAACAATCAGTGTTTAGTTGTTGAGACACATTTTGGGTCACATTCTGAAAATTCATTAATATTTGCAAAAGCACATTGTGAGAAGCCCATTGTATTCTTTATTGATGTTCAACACTCTGATACCCCAAGGTGTCCTTTGTCACTCAAAAAAAGTCCATGTCATTTCCCTTAGAGTTTTTTCCATTATCTCCATGTTCCTGAAGATAAACCAGTAAAACATTCATTAGATAAAAAGCAACTAATGTAGGTGTCTCCTGTTAGGAACACTTAAAAAATTATAATTGTCCCAGTGCTTCCACTTACCTTGCACTGACACTCCATCATCACATAAGGCTGATTTATGGCTGTAGCTTATGTGGTGAATAGTGACAAGCCATTTGCAGTATCAGAAGCCACAACACACAGTTAAAACAAGTCTTGAAAAGCAACATTGTGGAAACACCATCGGCAAATCTGCTGTTACATTTTAGAAATAATCCAGTTTTGCTTTAGCAGCAAAGACCTGCAAGAAGTTGTATTGGAGTGGGGAGGGTGAGCTGTAATCATCTCTGGCTCATGTTTTAAGAGTCCCAACCCCTGTGCTACCCTTTTCCTCTCAAGTTACTCCCTCCACTAAGCAAGACTGCTGTTAAATAGGTTTATGTATCAAAGGTTCCAATTTAAGTCTTGTTAAAGAGAAATAAGAATAGAATTTGATGGATAAGAATCAAGCTCAAGGGAAGAATCTCAGAATATGCTGCCAGAGCTGAGGTCCTGTTTTAAAATTCAGTTTTATCACACCTAAAACTTGGAAAACTACACTACCAGTTTTAAATACTGCTTTTCCAAAACAGACATTCACTTTAAAGCATAAACTGGCATAAGCTCACTCTTCAGGTTTTCAGGGAAGTTGTGTTGCACCTAAATTGCAAGAGCCATGTGTGACTCTTTTCTAAAGCTAAACTGGCCAACTACAACTTCGAATACAGATTCAGACAGTTTCAAGTTTCAGCAACATTTGGAACGCCTTCGTTGATAGGCAATTAAAACCGAATTTAAAATTATGAAGTCCACAATCTGTTACCTTCACATAAAAAAAAGAAAAAAAAAAATCCCATATTTCCTGTGGAATTTTATTGCTAGAAAATCTCCACCACACATTTCTTAGTTTACATCCTTAATTCCGAATTCTCACCCAGATGATCATCCACTGGGTGTTTCCTCAAGAGGTCCTGTGACTGGCCTTGGATCAGCTGAATGTCCTGTACAGCCACCATTGTTACAGCCATCAGTAACGAGTCTTGCAGCATAACAAAGTAGGGCAGGTTATTTTCTTACTGGCAGGAATTAGTAAAGGATAATTGGAGTTACATTATCCCAACAGCAAACAACACTAATAGAAGCAGAAGTTTTACAACAGAACCACACACTTTAGGGACTTTCAGAGAACTGGTGACAAGAAAAAGGTTTAGAACTCAGGTTATGGGAAGTGTTTTGTATCACCTACATTCCCAAAGGGCCTTTATGGTTAGACAAAGCTAATCCTCTACAGCGTCATGTAGTTAGTGACCCATCAAAAAACCCTCACCTAATTCTTGGATCAGGCTGAGTTTGGGATATTTCCTATTGCAAAGATGCACATAAAAGCTCAACTATTTCCTGTTTCACATGGAAGAAGTTGTCTGACTGCAGATTGCAAAAGCAGCGGGTTGGTTGTTTTTCCCCTGGAGAGAATGGTTTTGTAGGACCTCAGGTGCTCTTCTCTGTACAGCCAGTGTGTCTTTCCTCACTAGCTTTCTCTCCACACCATGTCCAGTTTTTTGCCATGGCTGTTGCTGAGGAATGGGAACCCCTTCCTCTTCCTGGGCACCATCCTGCTGGGAAATGTTGTGGCTTTCTGTCCCTCTCCCTCAACACACACTTGGGCAGGTGGCTGTGACAGCAGAGTGTCCAGGAGCCCCAGGAAGGCCTTATTTGCAATGCAAGGTTAGAACACACTGAGTTTAACTTCACATTCCAGTGTTGTTCATGGAAAGTGGAAATGAGTGGAATAGACAAACATTTATTTATGGCAATCTTGTATCTTGCAGGGTGATGGATTTTCATGGTTATACTGAGATTACTTTCCTACAGCCACATTGATTTTCACAGAATCGTTTCTTATTTGTATTCCTGTAATCAGGCCAGGAAGAATCAAATGTTCCATTTAAACCATTTTTTTTTTCATTCAGTGGTAAACTTTTCATGCTCTCCTAGATCTGGGTTCTGGACTAAATGTAAATGAGAAAAATAAAATTGTGAGGGAAAAGAACAAGATCTGCTTTATTTATACCAACTTGTTTGCATTAGAATCAGTCGTGGCTGAGGCTGGTTTTTGCAATATTCAGGGGGAAATTTTTCAGGCCAGGTCCCTCAGCAGTTCTGTGCATACCCAGCACTGGGTTTAAAACAGCTTTTCATTGGCATTCAAAAATCTGTTAAATTTACCACGTTTTATTAGTATTTATTTATTAACAATTTGCAAAATCATTTGTTCCTGCACTGTGACTATGCATTATTTACCTTATCCAAAAGAAAAGCTGGACACATGAAATCCTAGGGAAGGTTTCCTCCTATAGCACCATTTAGAACTGCAGCCCCAGTGCAGGTTTCAATCTAATGCACTATTTTTCCTTGAAACCTGCCTGCACATACATCCCAACTCTGTGTGGCAGTGAGGAGCAGTCTGAAGGTTATTGCTGTAGCTATGGAATATCAATACCTCCATGGCCACAAATACAATTCTGTTTGTTTCTTAAAGCACCTAAACCCCCTACCTTTTACTTAGTTATTATTTCAGTTGTGGTTTTCCCCTGATATTAAAAACAGGCAAAGCGCCTCCACTGGGTAGAAAGACCCAAGTCTGTGTAAACTGTAAATTAGAATTCCCTACAAATGAGCATAGGGGCACATAATTATTTGTGTCTCGGAATTCCTGCAGTAGGTGGATGTCCTTGGTTACCTCCACAGGCTGTGCTGCCCATGTGCAGTTGGTCAGGATGTTCTCTGAGCTGGTGGATGGGAAGAGGTGAAACCCAGTGACAGTCCTTGGTGGCTCATTTCAGACATGTCACTCAGTAACCCTGTCATATTTACCCGAAACTCTCTCCAGAAACTGCTTTCATACCAAGGAGATTTTTTCCTTCAGCAGGACACAGAAGATACTGTGGAAGCTTCAGAGAAATTTTGTATCTGCCTTGCCAGTAGAACAGCTTTTTCATTAATAGTTAAAGCATGGGAGCTTTTAAAGCTGTGTTGCCAAAAGCAAATGGTTTGAATTTTAATATGTGGCTTTGAGTTTAACATTTTCCCCTTTCTCTGTTCATTCATTTCCTCTTATATTCCTAAGGATCTACCATGTATTACAGCACTTTTCACAGGAATTCATGTAATCTGATTTTAACCTTTATGTGTATTCTTTTTCTGTTCAATTCATTAATATTTAAAAATTTCTGCAGTTTGAAATACAGGAGCAAGAAAGTCCTTAGTCAGGCTGACTACACCTAGTGATACATGGCTCAGATTTAACAAACCTGTCAAGATTACTTGATCTTTCTCAGTCCACCCTTGATTAGAATCATCCTATTCTGATTTTTCTGCAGGTGCTTTCTGCCACACTGGTCTAACTGTGAAGTTTGCACAAACTTCATACCATACCTAACATACCACACACTGACTGCTGTCTACCTGCATGATAACAATGGTTTTCTACTGTTTTCATCACAAAGGATGCATCTGGCCATGCAAAAACTCCTTTGTGGGTACTGTAAAATGTACTCTTTGGAGAAAGCTGATGGGCTGGTACTATAAAGTGTAGTCTGAATTGTATTGATAGTTTCTATCATTTGAACAAAACAAAACAGATAATTTTACAAATCATCAAGGGTTTTAAATCCTGGTGATAATGCCTTCAGACAACACCAGTAAGTATTAAAATAAGGAGAAAAAATAGCAAAGATCCAGATTTGTTGCTCGAGTAGTGATTGCATTCCAGTTAATCCATCCTTAAAGTAAGCTAATTAATCTTATTAAAATTAAAAATAAAAAAAACAAAAAATGAAAAAAAAAACCTTTAACTTGCTAAGGAATTAAGTGGACGCAATTGAAACTGTCCGAAACCAGAGATGCAGACTCCAAGGACACTGTGAACTATGGAAACAAGAAGAAAGTTTTAATTTTGAGCATAAAAACAAGTTAATCTTTGAAGTTGCACCAAACACAGTTCTGTACCATTCACCTTGCAATATGAACTGCCACTTAGCAAAAAAGAAAACTTGGAGCCTCTTTTAACTGATCTCCTCACACTGGCCAAATTCAGCTAATATATTATTTGCTTTAAATAATCCTACCGTGGCCAGCAGGTTGTGATAGAACAGTCAGTGTATGCAACAGCCATACAGACATCTGAATTTGGAAAGAACCAAGTCTTGGAGATACATCACCTGCATCCTGTTTGCGAGTTTGTCAAACAAAACAAAAATGGCAAAGTTCCATGTTTTATCCTACAAATTCATAACTCCACAACTGAGCTCTCCAGGTGAAAGGTTCACATCAGCCTCAACTGTGCCATATTAAACGTGGCAGTCTTTGTAAATTCCACAATTCCTGTATTTGTGAATTCCTCCATTTATAATACCGATGTTTGCTGTGTGGAGATTTCTCATCATACTTGTGATTTTTTCTAAACATCCATGGCTAAAGCTCCTGTTTCCTGCTGCAGTCCTGAGCTGCAGATGCTGCTTGTGTCCCATCATTCAGATGTTGTGTGCAGAATGCACTGCTGTTACGGTTTTACAGAGGACTGTCATGATTTATCCCTGGTTGGCAGCTCAGCACCACACAGCCACTCACTCACTTCCTAGCCCTGGGGGAGAGAATTGGAAAGGTAAAACACTGATGGGTTGAGATAAAAGCTGTTTAACTAAATTTAAGAAAAGACAACAACCAGAAACAAAACAAAACAATAAAGAAACACCAAACAAAAACCAAACAAGGCAGAGTGGGGAAAAAACCCCAAATGCAAGAAGAACAAACTGATGCCCAGCCAGTTTCTGGGCCAGGGGAGCCCCTGCCAACCTCCATCCCCATGGTTTGATTGCTGAGCATGGCATTATATGCTGTGGGAAATCCCTCTGTTTTTTTCCAGGGGTTTTTCTGGGGGTCAGTTGCCCTGCTGTGTCCCCTCACAGCTTCCTGTACACCCCCAGCCTGCTGGGGCACACTGGCAGGGCAGTGTGCAGAGGAGAGAAGCCCTCAGTTCACGTTTCCAGCTGCCTGAGGCCTCATTGTCCACCTCAGCCTTTTCCCCACAGCCGTGAGCAGGGAGGTGATGGACACAGCTTTGGCCAGCAGCGAGTCTGTCTTGGGGCTGGCTGGAACGGGCTCTGGCCAACATGAGGGCAGCTGCTGCTCGCAGAAGCTGCCCCTGCAGCCCTCCCACTTCAAATCCTTGCCATGGAAACCCAGCCCATGACCCCAGAGAACCCCACACAGATGCACACAGCATCACGCCGCTTTCTTCCCAAAGGGCAGATGCCCCAGAGAGGCTGCCAGGCCCTGGGACAGAGCAGCTGCTGGGACACAGGGCAAGAGATTGTTGGTGTTTGTCCGTGCTCCTGCTCCACGGTCCTGGCAGTGTCCTCGATGGAGAGGTAGCTCCTCTCCTGGACACAGAGCATGCACGGGCTCCTGGATGCCCCCCTGTCACTAACTACACACGTGTTCCACATAAAATGATGTAGGAAGTGTAACTTGTGACACCTCTTCCCATTTTAAAGCTGCGGTGCTGTTCCTGGGTTGCACACCATCTGTGCTGGGCAGCTGTGTGGAAAAACTGCAGGAAAACAAGAGCTCTGCTGCCCCTTGGTGGCCATCACTCCAGCAGAGTCCTGTGGGAATTTTGCATCCATTCGAGAGGGCTTAACGATGTTTGGGGAGAAGGTATTGACTAAGCTGTGCTGGCAGAAACTGGGGAAGCACGGCCAGCAGAGGAGAGGGTCCAGGTGTCACACAGGACAAGGCCCCTGACCTCCAGATTTGAGAGCAACTCAATAAAGCAAGGACAGCCTTACATCCAGGGGCCATCAACATGGACATTGCAAACGAGCCCTTCTTTGGGAAGGCCAGACAGAAAGATTGGAGGCATGAAGAAAAATTATTAAAGACCATCACATGGCTCTGAGAGACAGATGGGACTCCTGAAGACACCAGCAGAAGCATGTCTGGTTCAGAGAGGGAAGACTGAGCTGGCTATGCTAGCAAGGCTTCATCCAAAATATCAGAGAAGTTATTCCCAAATAACCCCCTTCAGTATACAGAATACCCCACAATGTCACAGACCTTGGCAAGTCCTGGGATTTTGTACAGCCATAAGAAATTCTGCCTAATTACTTTCTTTTTTCTAACCAGGAATTTGGGAAGCCCATATCCTCTCTTCCTGCCCCAGGACCTGACATGCTTCACTGTAGCTACTACTTCCATAGGCACCCAATTCATATATCTTCCTTATTTATGTCCTCCTTTAAGCAAGGATTAAGCATTCTCTACAATTAAAAAAGTTGCATTAAATTGCAGAAAGTAACATTCAAGACAGAGCCTTTTACTTGCTACTGTGTGTAAAATTTTAAATAATGAAATAAAACATAATACTTGAAGATTGTTTATTTTAAATGGTATTCTGAAATTTGTGGCTATATACAAATTTTTCAGCTATGAAGCTTAAGATTGCATGGTGACTGTCTTCACAAAGTAAGGCTGCTCGGTCAGTAATCTCAGAGTTGATTCCATTGAAGTGGGATTACTCAGAGTACAGGATGGCTTCAGAAAGCTTGTAATCCATGAAGGCACCAGCACCAAAGGAGGGAAGCCTTCCTGCATAAAAAGCGAATCAAGGGTCCCCTGGGATGCCATGGGACCTTTGCTGAATTTGAGAGCATCACCAGCAGGGAAAGGTCTGAGTGAAACCAGTGGCCACTGTGGAAAGGCCTTTACACTGCACTCACAACCTGCAGACAGGTACACACTGCAGGGGCTTTTCCATGCCAGTCCTACTCACTGTGCTTTATTCCTCACTCAGCTGGGCCAGTGACAGGACGAAAACACAGAAAAAGGAAAAAAAAAAGCAGCTTACGCTACTATGGCAATTTAAGAGTGATCTTTAGAGATATAATCTTTTTAGGGATAACTAATAGGCATGAACAGGACTTATGTCAATGCTGAAACTTCAGTTTAGATACCAGACACAGGGATGGGATGAAATGTTTCACCCCGCAGCCAACAGACAGAAAGTCTTCACTTCTGGGAATTCCCATGGAAGACAGATGAGCTGCTGCCTCCTCTGATGTTCCCCAATACTAAAGGCAGAGATATGCTTCATGAGTTTGTTTTATACACAGACAATTAAAAATACATTTTAGTAATGTTTCCCATTAAAACCTTACCCATATCACACTACTGAAATCAGTGCAACAAAATGACAGGAAGGACTATTTACAAGCATATTGTATTGTACCAAATTTGCAAGACAAGAAATTTCTAAAGTGCAAAGTTGTCTCTATTCTACATAGACACAGGGATCCATTTTCCTTCTTGTTGTACAAACAACTACCATCGTTACAGACACACCACAGATCCATGCTGAACATCCAAGTGACCAAATGCCATCCCTAGGCTGACAGGCAAAACTCCACCAAATCCAGTGGGAGGCAGACATCAGCATCCAAGGGCCAGGTTTAGTCCCTCAGCTGTAGGTGTGTCACATGCTGGATGGAGAGTAACTACTGAAAACCCAGGAACACGAAACATAGGAAGTGTATTTAAATACATGGAAAAAGTATATTTAAATACATGGAGGAAGGTATTTAAATAGAAATCCTACAAAGAGCTTAATGGTTTGGTTTACAGTAGATTAAAGACAATCACTGCTTTTCTTAAAGCGCAAAACAGAGGGCCCAGCACTCCGTATTTTATTCAGCTGCAGTTCTGTCCTGCTTCAGATGGGGCACAAATTTTTAAAGACTATTTACACCAACAAGATTTGCAGGCTTAGCCATGAGAGCCTCTCAAACCAGAGAGAGGCCAGAAAAACGGGCTCTTGCAGCATTAGAATATTAAAAAGTCACCGTTCAAAATACCTCACTCTTAAAAATTACTAAAGGGAGCTATAACAGAAGGAACATGGCTGCTGGGTTTCCAGATTCATGGAAACTCCCAGTTCATTCATCCATATTCTTAAGCATATTGGACAGTTAATCTATATCCTATTTACAGTAATTCCTGCTACTAGCCAACAAAACCAAAAGAGAAAGCTGCTCATTTCCTCACAGCTCTCTCTACTTTGCAAACTAAACATTCTCCAGCTTCTTATTTTTCGGCAAAACCATCCAATGTTTGCCACCGGATTTTAGCTACAAGTAAACAAAGTTTGTCTTGAAAAGCAACACATGTTAAGTGAAATTAGTTTGTTCCATTAGTCTATTTTTAAACTACTACATCATATTTACTGAAACAGCTATGGCGTAAGAGGTTACACTGCTAGGCTTAAGTAATGTCATCATCTGACACAATTCACTTGGTTATGTCCCAAATTATTTACAGTGAACTTGATTCAGAAAAACCACTCGGTTTGAGAAAGCGTCCAAAGAATTCCAAGTCCATAAAATAATCTTTCCTACCAAGATGTTTGGGAACGATTTAGTCATGATTTGTTAATTTGATTTTAAGATATTCCTCTACTGGAACCCACCCATGAGTAGGAGCTGCATGGGTAATGAATCCCAGGACCAACATGTGCATTAGGAAATAAGGGTATGTCTGTGCCACAGTTTGTAGCAGATGGAAGGGAAAATGAGGGGAGGAGGGAAAATGGGATCTAGTTTACAGATAAAGAAAACTAATTCAGTTGAGATGTGTATTGACAAAGAATTCTGAAAAACAGTGAGTAGCTAAAAAAATCGTGAATATGAAACTGAGTTAACTCAGTGCATCTTGATCCTTAAAGGGGGCAGGCTGAGCAAATGCTGTTGACTACAGCTGAAATACATTTTTAGAATTAAAATCTATATAAGAAAACTAACTCCACACTCCACCCTGGCAAAACCTAAGTTGGTCTTTTAACAATGCAAGAAGTCTGAGTCATCTCATCAAGTTAGGAACAGATTTGAGTAACTCTTCATGAAACATACCACAGGTCCCTGTGCAGCACCAGAAGAAATGGAGCCATTTCAGGTATATATTCTTCTTGATACTCATTATCCTCTAGGCCCCTGCAGAACAGAAACTTCTTCCAAAGAAATTCAGCTCACTTTACGCTTATTTTTATGTGCAGAACTGACAGAAAGAAAAATCCATCACGGGAAGCAAGGAGGTCTGCATTTGATCAACACACAACAGCCAGCATTAAAAGTCTCTTTGCCTTTTGTATCAACAAATTTTGTAATTTGGTCCAGTATCTCAGGAAGAGTCTTGAGTTCCCTATTAACCTCATCAGCAGCTTTTGTTCCACGGGCCTTCAGGGAGTTACACACCTGCTCTCTAAGCAAAGTGACTCCAAGCCCCATGAAAGATTTTAGAAGCACCGAATTACAGCACAGTGGAAGGTGAACAAAGAGTAAAAAGTGAAGAATGTGATACAGTTTACATCATGGCAAATGCATTTGCCATCGTGTTTGCTGGAAGGGTGAACACTGTCAGGCTGCTCTGTTTCTTTCTCAGGCAAAGAGAAGTGCAGCAACTGGTACCCAGGGATTGCAAGGATCTCACTTCAACACATGCATCATCAGCCTTTGCACTTGCAGCAAATCAGAAAGATGTTTTTGTTGTCACGGTGTTTTGCAGTGCTCAGCACTAAAGAATGCTGTCACATTTTCCACAGTAGGCAGAAATGGAAGCAGCAAATTCTGCAAAATCCTTTCTTTCTTAGCCTTGACTGGGCTTGGCTTCTGGCAAGTTTTCTTCTGAAAGAGCTGATTTCAGTGCAATACTGCAAAAGCTGAGAAGCAGCACTGCTTACACAGGGCATAAAGGAAATCTAGAGCTTGGCTTCCCAGCTGTGCCATCAGCTCTTCAGTTCATCTTTCCTCCCTGTTCTCCTGACAGCTTCTTATAGACACCACCCAGATGGAAACACAGCAACTTCATTCTAAATCCATTACCTTAGCAAGACAGCTGTGGGAATTCCAGTGTCAAGAGATTTGAACTGTCTGCAGCTTTCAAACTTAACAAAGCTTTGAAGATTCAAAAACTCTGAATGAATGGCACAGGGATGCTTTGCTTTTAAGCATTTCCAAACTGCTTGCTGCATCACTTTCAGATACACTTTGATATTAAAGGATTTGGATTAAAGGACAGACAAAGATATGGTACCTTACTACAAATTCTGATATAAAAACCCTAATCTACAGAGGAAAGAACAGAGGTTAATAGTTTCAGAACATAAACTGTGCTCCTGTTATAAAGAACTTGAGGTTTCCCCAAGTTCTGTGCAAGTCCTGTGAAATACCATAGGAGTGTTACAAACCAAACCCAGATTTTCTTCCCTCACTACAATTAGGTGAATTGGAACATGACAGGGTGCTAAGCCTGAATGACAAAACTTGAATAAATATAACTGTTCGTGCAAACTTCTGTTTGCAGAATTGGACATGACACAGCATATAAAGTAATGGAAAAATCCTCAAGCATTACAATCATGATACTTCCTTTGCTATTTGTGGGTAAAACTAAACCCACAAAAAGAAACTCCTTAGAGGCACAATAGGAACATTTAAGCCCACTCATTCTATGATATCCCACTAAAATCAAAAATAAATCAGATATAAATAACCTCCTATAAATCCACCACATTCTTAAGCAAGATATTAACAAAGGTAAATTAAATTAGCCTTCTAAATGTAAAAAGGAGAATCAATAAAAGATCAGAACTAAAGCCCCAGAGTTCTATGAATAGGAGTTTCAAAGTGACTTCAAAGCACTTATGGCACTTAAGAAATCTGGCATCCACTGTCTTTTTGAGGCTTTATATCTGGTTCCTTCAGAGGTTTTACTTCTTCATCTGGTTTTGGTTTAGCCTGCAAACAAGAAGAAAAAAAACCCACAACTAAATACCACAAGTACAAACCACTGTGTCTGCACAGTACTTATGCACAGCTAACTTTACATGTTATAATCTAATAGTGCCCTCTCTTTTCAAGGCTGAAAACTTTGAGTAAGCCTCAAGCAAGATGGAAAAGCCAACTGTTGTCTGTTTCAGCATCCTTATATGAATCCTCTTCTATAAAGCAATCTCTCTCTAGCATTCACTCCTGTAATGTTACAGGATTTAGTAAAAAATGAGCTGATTTTCCAGATGCTGGCAGTGTGGCAGAGGTTAATTGACTTGCCCCTGGCACAACAGAAGGATATGCTTAGGTGGTAGCCTTGTGTCTGCTTCCTACACTGAGCTGGGAAATGTTAAAGAAGAGCCAAACTAACTCTGAATGATACAGAGAATAAAGCCAGGGGGAAAGAACAGCACATAGGATTATCTTACCGTGTCATCCTTTGGCCTCTTGGTGAGATCAAATGCTGCAACTGTTTCAGAAGTCCAGTGTGCATTCAAGGCAGGAAGCTCGAAAGGAACAGGCTCTACTAAGCCATAGTTTGCTTTCAATTCCAGCTGGGGAGCCTCCGCTGGCACCTTCTGGAAATAGCTGGAAGAGAATACAGAAATGTATTTAAAATACAATGGACCATCTCTGCAAGTCGTTTGCAATTCTAAACGAAACAATCTGGGTTTTCACAGTGGCAAACACTGCTGCTCTCTTCAATAAGGCACTGCCTAACGTGCATTCTGCCAGCAAGGTTCACAAGAATCAAAGCAACTCCTTCTTAGTATTATTGTTTGTTCCCTAATTGTCTGGTGTGTTTTCTCCTACTTAATAACCATTACTCTGAGTGCTTCAATGAGAAGAGCATATTTTGTCAAAAGAAAACCCCTTCAAAATACAAATGAGGATTTAAAGTACTTCCCAAAGAAGAAGAGGACGGTTCTTCTAAATAGTCTTAATGTGCCAGTGGATGATGGCAACACAGCAGCCCCCCAAAGACTGGCTACAGGGCAAAGAGGGACTCAGGGTGTCCCTCTGCCCTTGGCCAGCAGGAGCTCGCACACAGACACCAGACACCCTCTGCCTCATTTCCTGTGCTGCACAGAGCTCTCCCAAAACAGCCACTGCTTTCTCTTTCCAAGTTTTGTTCTAGAGGGACATGGATGTGTTGAAATCTCCAGTATGCTGCTGTTGTGAGCTCTGACAATGGGTATTTGAACCAAAGCAGAGCAGAGCATTTCTCTTCCTATTTGCAGTTCACTTTGATGTACTTGACCATCCTTTCCACTTAGTCAGTTCCCCTATTATGGAGGTCTTTAAATATCATAAAAATGGAAATAGCAAACCTATTATGGAATACTAAATCATAATAGGAGGGAAGGGGAGAAATAAATGAGCAAAAGAACTCTAAAGACAAACTAATCTTCATATTTTCAACTGAAATAAAAACTTGGTATTTCCAAATCCTTTTTGGAAGGATATTAATGAACAGAAAGCCCTATTCACAATATTAACTATACTTGGACAGATAAAGCCCCTAGGCTTTAAACACCCTAAGCATGTTCTTCACTGAAGGCAGCACTGTGTTTTGACTTCCCTGCTTGCAAAGCAGAATCATCTACTGGTCTTCTCCACTTCTCCCTCTATCCTCTTTTGCCTACTAGATCCCAGGAGACAGGAAGAGAGCATTACAGCAACACAGCAACTTCTGCAGATTTTCTCCTGTGCAGAAATAAAAGCAACCAGGTGGCTGAGGAATTAAGGAAGAAAACTGCTCAGCCTCTCCAGATGTCAGTCCAACCCACACTGCTGAACTGGCACAGGACAGTGGGACAGAGTGGGACAGCACAGACCCACTGCAAATCTGCCAAGAGAAAATTACAGAAATTTATCTGTAAGTTACATGTCATGCCCTAAAGGAATTTAACAACTGGAGAGTGAAATTTACCATCCCATCCTGAAAATAAAGGCAAATGAGGTAATAACACTTCATACAGAGTGCTGTACCAACCATGAATTACTTACATAAATCCATTCTCTCTCTGGCATTTTTCTAGTGTGCTTTTAATCAAACTTCCTAATTTCCTAAAGAAAAGATGTCCGGAAGGTTTGGCAGTAGTCCCAGGCCCTTTGGTTTCTCCATATTCTTTGCACAATGCTTCAGCTTTGGCAAAAACTTTGCAAGAAAGAAAGGAAATAAAAATTATTTATATGACCCTCCTAAACCATGGTTCTGCTGTACAGTGCATCAGTCTTATAAGACACCAGAACCCAGTCAGGCCTTTTTCTTCTTAGAAACAAAACCAAACTGGCTCAAAATCAGCACTTCCAGCCAAGATTTCCTGCATCCAACAGGTGACTGGGAACAGGAAAAGAAAAAGATAGCTTTTTGGGTACGAAGACACAGGGAAGCATTCTTATGCGTGGGGAAAAATGCAACAATAAAAGCCCAAGAACTGTGCCACATGGTAGGGAAAAACAGAGGGTATGATGGTGTCCACACACAGCTGATGCCCCAAACCTAACAACAGTAACCAATATCAAGTGGGAAAAGAAGCACTCTTTTCTGAACAGCAGAACAGTATTTGTTTTACTTCAAGAAATCCAACTTAAGTTTGTTCTTAATAAATTTTGATTTATCTTTAGAACTAGTATTAAAGTTTCCACCTAGAAGATTTGAGCATTTATATACATTGCAGTAAAGTTATGCAGTGCAGGCCATTGGGGTAGAAATAGCTTTGAAGAGAGAAAACTGGGCAGAAAACCTTGAACTACTACAAACTTGCCTGAACATACCTTTTAATAGAATAGAAAAGAAATAAGTTACTGAAGCCTATTTAAAAATAAACAAGCATGATCTAGATTTACTATTTAACCTCCAAAGCAGAAATGGCTGCACTACTCTAACACATAGACCAGAAAACAGGATGACCAGACCATTGGTTTTTACACCGTGTATTGCAGGCAGCTCAAAGCCAGTCTTTAAGCCAGGCTGAGAAGTGAAGATGAAATTTTCTGCAGCATTGTTATGAAAGACAGTCTTTGGTAAGACAAAAAAAAAATAAAAACATGCTCTCTCTATTCAAAGGTGTGCTGGATTTCCATCAGGTGACAGATAAAGTCTTTATGGGAAAGCAAATTAACACAGCAAAACAGAACAGGCATGGCATCATCAGACCCTGTACTCCAGTCTCAACCACACTTACATTTTTCTGATTCCTGCAGAGATCTGATTGCTTCCCCACATTTATCACTTGCCAGCAAAGTCTGGCCATGGTAACAGTATGCCTGATGGGAGAGGACAAAATCATTACCAACATCACTGGACATTTCCTGCACCAATTCCCTTCTCCTGCTCTCTACAGCAGCTGCAGCTCTTTGAAGCTGCCATTCCCTGCAGGTAGTTGACAGCTGGGGAATGCAAGTCAAAGCAGCATTCACTGAACAATTAATGCAGTTCAACATGAACACTGTGAACCAGAACCATGAACTCTTGGTATGAACCAAGCTGTGTGGGGTCTAGCCAAGAGTAACTGAGCTGCATGAAGCTGTTTGACCTGAAGCACCAGCACACAGGCCAGTCCAAACTCTCATTGTAGCAGCGTGCTGCATCAAGCCCCAGCACAGAAAAAGAATGAACCCCAGGCAAGTTTACGAAGCTAAGACTGAAAACTAAAACTACCTGAACACTCAAAAACTCCATCTGTGACAAACATCACTGAATCTGGAGAAGATGAGGTGTTCTGCTGTCTGACATCTTTTGTCACAGTCCAAATGACTTTCCCACCCCAAAAGGTCCCATTCCTTCACACCTGTGCTTGAAGGTGGTATTGTATTCCAGTGAGAACTGATTTCCTATTATCTATTATCAGGAGTTGAATTGAACTAGTAAATACAATAGGTGAAGGAACAATCCCACCAACTAATGCCTACCTTTCCCCCCTTCCTTTAGTGCCTGTTCTCACAGTACCAATCTATGCAAATATACCACTGCCCAGATTTACTCAAATTTAAAAAAAGGAGAAGTACCACAACTCTTCCCTTCCTCACCTCTCAAACCTGCTATTAAGGCAAGCAGCTTTTAGCTACAGGTTCAGCCTAGGAGAAAGATAATTACGTAAACTGCTTAGTTAGGGCCTTTTGTGCAGTATAAAACAGACAGATTACAGGCTGTGGCAGGCTACGAGATACAGTAAATTGAGCAGCTGAGAATCTCAGGGGCACCACAGCACTTGCCAGGAGATCCATCAGGCAAATAGGGACAGCTCTAGGAATGGTACCTTTTGGCACTTGATGCAGTTTCATTCAGGGCCTTCATAAAGATGCTCAGCTCTGAACTGTGCCTAGGATCAGGCTGTGATGTAGATAACAGAAATGACCATTATGCTCAACCTGAATGGCTTCAATTAAAGATCTGTGATCACAACAAATCTGCACTGCTGCAATTTCATTTGGCTCCACAAAAATGAGTTCAAATGTCACTGACACTGCACAATTCCTCTTCACAGTATGGAAAGAAAGCCAAGGCAATACTTAGCCCCCATTCCCTACGCAGCCCTAGGCAGACAGACAACAAGCTGTGACTGCTGCCATGCAAAGTACTTACGTAGGCCATATAGAAACAGCTCTTCAAGTTTAAGTACTTCCTCCATTTACCTGCATAGGTTGGATCCAAACTGGATAATGTTTGATCTGTGAACACATATGTAAAGTTATTCTTAAGACATTTCCAAAAAGAAAAACCCCAAACGCATTATAAGACCAGAGTTCTTAAACTTAGCAATAGATCCTAACCCCAAAGTATCCAGAAACAAGGGACAAAAGTTAACCCTCCAAAAGCACAAAAAAACTACGAGAAAAAAAAACAAAACTATGCAGCTATCATGCAATTGTCCCTAGAATCCCTGAAACTGCTGTCCACTAAGTCTGGAAGGCTAATTCTCTAAGTATTTTTAGTCAGCATTTCAAAGCTTGCTCCTAGTTTCCAGTAGTGACCTATAATGTGATGTATGTTACAATGTTCTCCTGACTCCCACATTTCTCCCACTTGTAAGCCTCAGTAAGCCCAGAGATCATCTTACTCCTCTGGAAGTAAGAATGAACCCACTCTACTCCCCACGCTCTGCATCATGATCTGCTGCCCAAAGGCAGCTGGAACACACTCCATTGACATCAGGCCATTTGTCTGCTGCTAGTCTGTCTTCCTTCACTAATGTTTCCTTCCATGAGCTACAGAAAAAGATTCCCACAAAACCAAAAAGCTTTGTGAAAATACATGCTGATAACTGAAGCCTTAAATGTGCTAAATAGAAGCTAAATACACACTCCATATCCACTGAGAGCAGCATTAATACTGCACTTTATGGGTGGGTGAAGTATATTTGCTGGCAAGAGTGCATAAACCAAGTCACTAAGGATACAAAACAAGACACTCACCAGCTTTTTGGTAGAAGTTGGCTGTTTCATAAGCAAGAGCAGCTATTAGGCCTGGATTGTGTTTCAGCTCAATAGCCCGAGCAATTGTCACTGAAAAGAAGTTCCACACCATAGTTTAAGTTTAATTGAAATGTCCCATCACATCAAATCAGCAGAGGCATTTAGGGTTTTAAAACCCCTGCACGAACAGGAAATAGATGTTGTGCAGTCAAGCAAACAGCAGACTGAAGACAGATTGCTTCTTGGATAGAATGATTTAATTTAATAGAAAAATTTAATCCAATTTAATAGAAAAACTGAAGGAAAGTTAGCCTTAAGATTAGCTAATAAAGAGAAGCTTCACATATTTTAAAGCAAAGGAACTGGGAATTTATGTTAAGCAAGCATGGTGGTGAAAGGCTTGCATGAAAGGAGAAAATAAGAAAAAGGAGCGCCACACACAATTTCTTCCTAAGTGAAAGATATTCCGCATTACAATTGTAATATCAGAATGATTTGTGGCATTTTCCTTCTATAATTGTAACAAAATTTTCTTTAAAAGCAACCTGCCCCACTATGCCACAGTACTTCAGGAGAATAAAAAACCCATGGCCTTGCTGCCAACCAGAATTCATGAGACATCGGGGACCCACAGAGTCATTTCCCACACCCAACCAATGCATATCTGAAGATACCTTCTTGAGCTTCAGCTTGACACTGTACTATGTAGGAGTCTATAAGTCGAGCTTCTAAATCTCTTCCCTTTTCCACAGGTGTAATCAATTTTGGAATGTGATTTTCCTGAATACAAAGCAAGTCTCAGAGTTAGTTTAGGCCTGATACCAGTGCAAAACAAGTGCCTCATTCCTAAATGGATGGGACACACTGAGTGAAGGTCCCAAGACAGCACTGTAGCACATGATATGGGCAGACAGACAAACACTTTCAGTGCCACTGGGAATGATTTGCAGGGATTGAGTGGTACCACAACATATTAATACCTTTCTGTTCCCTGTATCATTCAGCTGGTCTCAGGTATATGTGTATAGCAAAGGCCTCTCTACGACAAAAAGTCAAGTATTTGGGGACACTTTGAAAAACAGACAGCAAAGAAAGTCCTTCTACCTTCAGGTGTTTAAAAATCCCAGCTGCTATCTTCAGGCTGCGATGAACATCTTTTGCTTCATCTTCTGTTATACTGAGAAAGTAGAATGAACCAGTAAAGTTATAGTCAGAAAGGGCCTCTAAGTGTCATTCATTTGTCCAGATGAATCTTAAATCCTTCAAGAATCAAGAGCCAACTAATTCCCAAAGTGACCTGTGCCACGGCTGTGCTACACTCAGAGTAAAGGAGATTCCTACAGTGTCCAATAATGAAATAATCATAGAGAACTTGTTTGGAAAAAAAGAAACATGTGATCTGTGATAAATCTCAAGTAAAAGGCAACCTCAGTGTTAGAAGCCAAAGATTTACAAGTCTATAGGGCTAAATGTCAGCAGAGCTGTGATTTTGAGAATCTGAGTTTTGTACCTGGACATTTAGAAGGGGACTGATGAAGAGTTTACTGACCAATGACACTTTCTCTCACCACAGTCACTGGTGGTACTACTGCACTTGGTTTACAGAGGCAAGAAGGGATTGAAGTGCTTGTGTGTAAACACCAACTGCCTCCTGGAACTCCTCTGTCTGAGCTGGACATGTCCCACAGCAGGCAACCCCCAGAACCTGCTAAATCTTTGGTGGAGTATTGCTACAGCAGAATTGTTAGGAAACAAAAACCACTTACTCTTCTTTTCCAGCGAGTCTTGATGCATATTTTGTGTACCATAGAGCTACATTAAATCCCATGGAAATCAGTTCAAACACTGCATCCTGCTGGGCACTAAAGAAAGACAGACAAAAACCCCTCAAAAACTTTATGTATTCAGCTTTGTTCTGACATCTCTCTCTGCTGATAGTTCACGTAGCAAAGCCAACATTTCCCTCCATAAAACATTTTCCATTTAAGATGTCAACAATTTCCAATTCAGAACCTCCTACTTGCTGAACTACCTAAGACAGACTTCAATTTTTTTACTTATTCCCTTTAGAAACTCATAATTAGAATCTCCCACATTCAGATGCCCACCCTTCCCTTTTGGGAACTTTTATTTTAAAACTGTAACTTGAGATTTGTTTAGCTTTGGGTGTGGCTGACATTTTTCCATCTCTTTTTTTTTTTTTTTTTTTCAATTGCACATTTTGTGGAAAGCCTTGCCCTGGAATGTCCACTTTAAAGCTGTAGCGCTAAGTTAATAAGTCAGAGTCTGTTACAAGTCTCTCAAATGAATGTTATTGCAAGCATTTATGTAACTGCAGACAAACAGCATGTGCAAATAGCAGGAAATTTCAAAAGCTAAAACCAGAGCCTTTGAAAAGACTGAACTTGCAATCGCAAGCTCAGTATAGCTTAGGAACTATCAAACCTTTTAAAAAGAAAGATGTGGGAGTGGGAACAGTAATGCTGGCACAAGTACAGGAGTGTATGACCGTGAGAAAATTAAAACAGAATCCTAATCAACAGATTTTCTTCCGTGGGGAATAAAACCTTTGAGAAGGCCAAGCACTTCTAGCTAAAGCTTGACAAATTTGTAGGCGTGGTTATACAACACAACTACCTCCAATAGCAAGAGACAAGTGCATAATTCAGGAGGTTACAGATCTGTATTCCTACTGGAAACAGAGAATTAGTTTGTTTGAACCAGGAGGACATATACTTGGAGCTTCAGAGGACAAGAAAAAATCAGATCTTCAGCAACACTGGAACCTCCAAAGAGAAGTCCCTGCTCAGGCAATAGTACCAAATATTCAACTGCAGCGAGCTCTGTTACCATGCTCAACTCATCAATGCCCTCAAGGCTCTTCTTTGTACTACTCTAGCCAACTGCAGGCTCAGTTTGTAGATCAACTGAGACCCAGCGGATCCTTCTACCATTATTGTGCATTCTCACAGCTTTACATAAAGGCCATGCACACTTCAGAACACTTGACACAGTACAGCAGCTACCCAAAACACAGCAACACCTTTTCAGAAACTACTTTTTGCTACATTTCTGTTTCCCTTCAGGCCTGTGCTGGCACAGGTGTATGTGTGTAATAGAGCAGCAGAGAGCAGCTGCTTTACCCGCACTCAGAAAAATGCACGCACCTCGGGACTTGTCCTTGTAACGTGTCTGTCCACTTGAAATTCTGAATGTATCTCAACTTGCACTCTTGGGAAGAGTCATCCAGTGAAAGGATAAAACCTATGGAATAATAAAACAGGCAATCTTGAAGTAGAAAACACAAATTCATAATGAAGGAGATGGATCAATATGAATACAGATATGGATAAAGAAATGTTTCTTGCTAAACCCCTTAAAACCCCATGTTACTTCCTGGGGCCTCTATTCCACAGTATCTTGAGAACAAAATGTGGGGAAAACCAACCCAGCACGTTACCAACTCAGTCTGGAGAATCTTGACTGCTCAAGGAAAACCTGGCAGATGTCTGCATGTCCCATATGGTGACAAGTTGGGAGTGGGCCTGGCCCAGGTACAGGATGGCTGAGGTTCTTCAAGGTGAGTGAGTGGCTGTCTCTGCCACCATAGTGACAACCAGGAAATTCCAAGAAAAGCTGCCTGCTCAACAGGGAGAGGGAAAAGGGCTTCTAAGCATGGGCTCACCTAGTCATCATCTATCTGCAGGACTACAGGAAATTGGTTATGTCCAGTAGCCAAGAAAAAAGCAGTCAGTGGGATGAAGCTCATGCTATGGGATGTTCAAATCCTAGCATGCGTATGCATGCCCAGGAACTTTTCAGGGAGGCTGAAGAAGAGCCTTGGTCTGATCAGGTCTTACAGACTTTAAGAGGTTAAGAGCTTGCCATAGCAGCTATTTGGGCTATGCCTGTCAGTGTGTCACGTGTTTATAAACAAAGAAAATCCTCATTCTTTTCACATGCAGGAGATTTTAGTGGTGAAGCATGATATTTTCCTGAACAAACTCTCCAAATCATAGCTATAGCAACAGGGATTCTTATCTGACCTCGAGACGACATTAGTCTACGCCATTCCCATGGGCTCACTAAATCAACATTTACCTCCCACAGACTGAAAGATCCCACTTTCCACAAACCAGCTGATTCCTGAAAACTCAGTCCTAAGAACCTGGTCAAGCACCTGACTGCTAGGAGAGAGTTACCAAAATATTGGCAGAAGGAAGGTTTCAAAGGAATGTGTCAGCAGAGGTGAACAATCTACTGAAAATGCAGATACCATGCTGATGAGCACCTACATATATACATACACCTAAGACAAACAGCAGTAGAAGGCAAACTTGCAACAAGTCTATGGTCTAGTATTAGACAAACCAGCAGTTTACACTGAATAATAAATTACATCAACTGATTAACAGACTCAATTATATTTAGGGAGCAATTCACCACCATCTAAGAAAAAAATACACGTTTTCTCCTCCGCCAGAATGAGGTTAAAAGCAGGAGGGCAGGGCTGCAAGCACTTAGTACTGGCAGGGTCACAAAAGGACACAGGAACTCAGAGAAGGGGTCTGGTGAGCAGCCACCACTGGTATCAAGCACAGAACCCATGCAGACACTCTCCTTCCTGTGCAAAGTGCAAAGAAGTGCAAAGCTTCTTTACAGGACATCAGCACAATTCGCATTCTGAGAAGTGCCACTAAAATTGAACTGATATTTCTCTTGATGAATTAGTAGTACTGCTAATAAATCTTCCTACCTTGCAGGAGTGAGAAGTACAAGTCAGCTGCATTCTTCATCATTTCTGGATTACAACTTGAGTCTGTAAACAGCTCCAAGAGCCGTGTTCGAGATAACCTCAAGTCACTAAATCAAAAGAAAACAAACAAAAAACCAAAAAAACTAAGAAATTCTACTCAAAAATGTACTTATACAGAAAAATCTTCCTTTCTCCTCTGGATACATATGACTGACTCTTTGATACAATCCATTCTGGTCACACAGCAGTAGATAATGAGTACTCAATCTATTGTACTAACACTACTGAAAATAACTATGCCTTTACCTACCAAGAGGCTGGGTGCACAGGGAAGAAAAGAAAGTAACAAGCAGGAACATCCTTCAATATTGATATGGGATAATGGGATGATGAGATGAAGAGATGTCTGCAAAATAAGCTGAGATCCCTTTTTCATTACATTCCTATCCACAACAGAACAGTCAGGCCTTATCCACTTATGGAAATTAAGCAATCTTTTGCAGAGGAATGCACAGTCATCAGAAAGACAATGAAGTGTTTCGTCTTTGCCCTCTGCATTGTTGTAATTTGCCTTGCTGTGCACTCAGAGACTTGAAAACTGGAGAATTCATTCTCTGTAAGCAAATGCTCAGTGTCTTACTGCCTCCCTGCCTAAACATTTCCAGTCATCTTCAGCTCAAAAACTGAAGAGAAACCATTACTTATAAAGATGTCCCCCAAACTACAAGAGGCAGAGTGAAGTTAGTCCCAAGTACACTTACTTGCAAACTTTTGTTGCAGCTGGAGTGGTGGCTACCCCATAATAATTAAATGAAACGGGAGCTGTAGCCTTCAGAGGGTTGCGATGGAACCAGTGGGTCATTTTCTTCCTGTAATGTGGTTTATGCCAAATCTAAGGAGTGGAAAGGAAAGAACAGCTGCAGGAACAGGTACAACTGAGGTGCTGCACATGTCCTGGTCCTCACAGAAAGATATTCCAAATGTAAACAACTAGGCAATTAAAACAATTAATTTGAAATTAATTTGTTCTTCCCCATTTGAAATGCCAAGCTTCCATATGCCCTGTGCTCATCATCCATGTCCTTAGTGTGAGAATTGCACTCTCTTGAAATACGAATGCTTTCTGAGGCAACTATTTTAAGTTAGGCAAAAAGCTACCACCTACTTTGCTCTATGTGAGCACACATATTCCCAGGGAAAAAACCTCCCCATTTGTTATCTCCTGCATAAGGCTGGACATACCTGTAAATTACATGAGAAATATCTCAGAATCACAGAACCAATTGGGTTGGAAAAGACCCCTGAAATCACCAACCCAAACTTTTGACAGAACATTCCCATGCCAACTAGACCACGGCATAGTGACATGTCCAGTCTTTCCTTAAACACCTCCAGGGATGGTGGGTGACCCCATCACCTCCCTGGGCAGCCCATTCCAATGTTTAACAACCCCTTCTGTGAATAAATTCTTCCTAATGAAAACCTGAACCTTCTTTGGCACAGCCTGAGGCCGTTTCCTCTCATCCTCTCACTTGATACCTGGGAGAAGAGGCTGATCCCCAGCCTGCCACAACCTCCTTTCACGGTGTAGTAGGGACTGATAAGGTCACCCCTGAACTGCCGCCTTCTTTTCCAGATTAAATCTCAATTCATTGAGATCATTATACTGTGTCTAGTCCATCTGTGAGTAGCCTGTATTTGGGAACCTTTGGTATAGACCTGCAACCACAAACCCTGACTGAAAACATGGACCTATTTACATACATGTATCAGACCTGGAAGGTTGGAAGGGCAGAGATAAGCCCGACTATCTCTTTCGCTTCAGTTTCAGCAGACAAATACAACACAAGCATTGCAGTGAGCTTTACAACAGCAGTGCAGGGTAATGGAACATAATGGGCACATCCTGAACATGGGAAGGCCCTACTGGATAAAAGGTGAAACTCTTTCACCATGAGGACAGAAAAACGGAGAAGGAAGTTGTGTGCTCTCCATCCTCAGAGGCTTTCCAGATCTCGCCGGACAAAGCCCTGAGCCCCTGCTGTGACCTCGGAGCTGTCCCTGCTCCGAGCAGGACGCCAGGACCTCCATCATCTCCTGGTCCTTCTGGAATCTCTTAAATTCATCCTTATAAACCACTCTGCAGCTTTGCTGCAACAAACAAACAAACAAACAAACCCCAAGAAGATCTCCCAGCACAGATCCCCCGGCACCGTCCAGACCCTCTTGACCGAGCAGGGGGTTTTGTTCATCGCGTCGGCACCGATCGCGCCGTGCTTATCGTGCCGGCACCTCTCGGGGCCTGTCCATCATGGCAGCGCCTGTGGCGCCGTGCCCACCCACCTGCCCAGCGCCGCTG